CTCTGCAGAAATGTTTTTCAATAACCTGTGATCTTTTTTTCCCCCCTTTCTTCTTCCTTGTAAGCGGATATTTCTTTTGATACAGAAGAATCATGTGTTCCTGGCTAATCCATCTGTCAATCATCCCCATCTGAACTCAGGGAGATACAATCGGGTCCAAACTCATATCTTTGTAAAATTTTGGAGAAGTGTGTTTTCTGGATCCCAGGCAAGAAAGTGAGAGCTCATACTTGGATAGCGGAAGTGCGGAGGTTATTCTGTAGCCAGGCTGGAGCCACATAGTGCCTCCGCTCAATTTCATTTCTCTCCAGTGACTAGGTCAAGAATTAGAATAACCTGGACAGTTTGCAAGAACTGAAGTCATGACGTCAAACTCAAGTCCCTTTTGTGGTACAGCGCAACAGTAAATAAAATGGTCGAGATGGATGTAGACGACGTCATACAGTCTGTGTTCGCAGCGAATCCCAAGATTGAGGATTTAAAGCCAGAGCAAAGATCATTTTTGGTGAATTTTATCGAGGGAAAAGACATTACTGCCCTTGTTCCTACAGGATTTGGCGCATTACATATGTCACGACCAAATAGCAGCGATTGGTAAAATTAAAGATGTACCCTGCCTACTGTCGAGCGAACGAATCCTAATGTTAGTCAGATGAATCAGGCTAGTTATTTTGTGCAGCTCACTGTAATAATAATAAAGTGGCCTTCACTGACTTTTTCTTTCCTGGCTTTGTGCTTGTTCCTTACAGTAGTGTCTGTTTTTTAAAGCTCCTATATTGCACAAAATTGACTCTTTTGACCTTTAAGCCATTTTGTAATGCTGTTATCTCCTCAAAAAAATATCTGGAGTTGTGTTGTGTTTCATTTACACATGTTTGAGTAACCCTTTATTACCTCCGCCAAGGAGGTTATGTTTTTGCCGGCGTTTGTCTGTTTGTTTGTTTGTCTGTTAGCAACATAACTCAAAAGGTTATGGACCGATTTTGATGAAAGTTTCAGGATTTCTTGGAAATGTGAAAAGGAAGAACTGATTTCATTTTGGGGGTGATCCGGAAGAAATCCTGGATTCTGGATCACTTTGAAATTTTAATTAACATTGTGGTAAATGGGGCCAAAAATTTTGTTTCTCAATATCTCGGTTAATTATTGACCAAACCCCATGAAATTTGACTCAGGGATGGACAATGGGATCCTCTTTCATATTCCAAAGGCTGATCCGGATCTGATCCAGAAGACTGATTTTATCGCAATTTATATAAAAAATGGGGGGGAGTGCTTTTCTAGTTTATTTCTATATCTCCAAAGCTCAAAATTCTCTGTTCTACTTTTTGATGTCAAGTAGTGGTGATTTTCAAGTTAATAGCTATCTTTTACCTTTTGTTCAGCAGAGATAGGCAACTCCACTGCTGAAATCACCAAATGAATCCAGTGAAGTTTAAAAACACAATGGAGCACTTCCAATGTTTTTAATGAGGAAACAATATTACAACAGAGATCAGAAAATATCATAACATAGGTCCTTTATAGTAACTGTAAAGAACTGTGACCCATCTGCAGTATAAGCATTAAATACACTTTAAGTAAGAAACAGCTGAATCTTGCTGTAAATGCCCTAAGCTAGTAAAACACACTAAGTGGACCCATTCATTAGTTCCATCGCAGATATACTGCTAGAGAATCGTACTTAATGCCTCCTGTAATGCCTGGGATTCACCGTTATTTCTTGCATTGATTTGGTCCTTATCAATCTGCACAGCTGTTGGAGGTAATGGCGTTCATTTCCACTTGAGCCAGTGCTGTCTGTGCTGCTAAATTGCTATGCGTGGATCCTATGTGAAGATACAATCACTCGTCTGTCTAGAGTATGATGGATATTACTTTAAAAGTGTTCTGAGAGGTTTCACTGTGATGACGCCGGCAGCTGGCAATGTTCAGCAAATATGGCAAAATGAGCATAATGGCTGTTGAAAAGATCTGAGTGTTCAAGCATCAAGTGCGGGAAATATATTGTGTTTAGTATTGTGTGCTTAAGAGGCAAAACACAGGGGCCCAAGTGGATCTCAGACGATAAGAGCGGGGCTGACTCACATTGGACAAAGTGGTCATGGCTTTAGGCAACTGTACAAAAAAGTGTTGATTTAATTTCAGGGAGACAGCTGCTGTGTGCTCTTAATATTGTTATCTTATTACCACTGAGATGTTATTTGCGCAACATTCCATATTACTGCGTTAATCTATACCATTTCTCTATCTTGCACTTATTTCATTGTGGGTGAAAACATGCATTCTTTCTTACTGTGGCATATTGTGGAACATTTTCTGCAAAGCTGTATGATGATAATGATGGAGAGCTGTATATCCCAACATGTTGTTTTGCACAAGTCACGCAGCTTGACCCTGGATGTAACCTTGTGTAGGGGTATTCATTTTCTTTCTACGATTCAATTGAAAGCAAGACAAAGCCTGCAGCATTACTCCCCAACTGCATTTAATGAATGACAACGTTTCGATCAGTGGATCTTCCTCAGGTCATGGTTCTCTCCGTGTACCACTGCCATATGTACCTTCTGCCCACTGATTGGTTGGCCAGTCTAAAAGCGAACCACAGGAGATGTCCACACAACACAATATATAACACAAAATACACTGTACATCATATTACATAAGCCATTACCCAAGTCCATCAATCATATGTTATAGGGATGTAACAATATCCAAATCTCACGATACGATATTTTCACAATGTGCATCTCACAGTACGATATTTATTGCGATATTTGTGGAGGTTAACAAAACTGTGAATATGCTACTTTCTTCTTAAAAAAAAAAACATTGATACTGTTAATAATGGCAATGTTGTAATATGAAGAATTAAGTGTTAAGTCTCCATTGACAACACCAAAGGATCATGGTCTATGTACTTCCCTCTGTTTTTTTTTTTTTTTTTAGCTATAGCTGCACCATAACAATGAATTTAAATAAAGAGACTTGTAGTTTGATATATTGTGACAGTCCGCGATATTATTATGAGACATTTGACGATACGATATCACAATATTTCGGTTATTGTTACATCCCTAATATGTTACAATTGGGCAAGTAAATGACATCATTATAAGAGGTGTTTAATTTTGTATTTCTGATTCAAGCCACTAGGGGCCAGTGTTTTTAATGAATAAATATAAAAACTTTCTCTTTGTAGGAGCAGCCTATTAATATCCCCTCTTCTTCTTGGGAGCTTCACCTGCTCTGTCCCTGTATATCTGAAGGAGGAGATGGGATGCAGCATTTCTTTAAAATGCTCTCCCTTTCAAATGTTGCTCCTATGTTCGGATTTTTGAGTTTATCCAGTTCTTAGTTATATTTAGACGACACAAGCCCATTTTAAATATTAGGATACAGTATTCAAGATAGATATTTGCCTTACTTTGTCCACACATATTCTTCATCTGGCTATAACCTTGCACGATTGCCAAACTAACATAGGGGTCACGTCATGTTTTGTCTGATATTCACTCTCATATCGAGTCACAGGAGCTCCTAATAGCAGTGGTACTTATTTCCCTGCAGCCTGTGAGTGGCGAGCCAGAGAAGTGGGAGTTTTGGATGGATGCACACCTTACTTCTTCTTGCATGAACATGGGGACGGCCGACTGTGAACCTGAGAGTGAGAGAGACCCAGGCACAGGAGGGAGTGAGTCAGTAATAATCCAGCGGCACAGTGCAATTTCAGTGTCAATCAGGGCCGGAGCTGATGCAAGACAAGGGACCGTTCCCATGGAAGTGCTTCTCTTTTACCCAAAAAAACAAACCAGGCGGATATTTAACTGGTGTTTTTGTTCTACTTACTACGTGTGGCAATGATTAAATAGCTACAAAATATAACATAACAAAGCGACTTAAACTGAATAATTGTTTTGACATAGCGTCTAATTTGTGATTTAAACTTATTGTTTTTCAGAGTGAGGAATAACAAGGACTGTTGCCATGGCGATTTAGAAAACATGATACTATCTACAAAAAGCTTTCATTGCCCACAGTAACAAAATATTTAGCTCAGATAAAAGTAGTATGATAATAATATTTATGCAGTAAAATGGCTGAAGAAAACTTTCTTTTCAGGTAATATTATCCATAACTATTATACAGCATGTGTTATGTACTAGAATATAAAATGTGACGCCTAATCAACCCTGGCATATGAGTTTATGAAAGGATGCTGTGAAGAAGTCATTAACTAATGCACCAGATGTTATTTCAGAAAAACAATACAACATATACAGTCACAAAAATGTATGTTATACCCTGAAGTCATAATTTACAACTAAAGTCACCTTTTGATTTGCAACAAGATCCCAGCTATTCTACACAGCCCAGATATTAATAACAAATGCATCGCCCCCGGTCTTATGCTTTTGGACTGTTTTTTACACAAGGCTGTTGTGATGCAGTGCTCTGAAACAGGGTCAGTGCTTGCCAGCTTTTAATGTTAAAAAACAAAAGGAGATCTGAGGACAGCCATGGTAGCGCCGCAGAAAGAAATGTACGATAGACTCCCGAGCGCTTGTTCCACACATTCTCCTCTCATTATCGCGGTCGGGAGACACGGGTGTTGCCAAATGAATTTCCAAACAATTTTCCACCAACTAGGATTTGATGTCAAAGAGATCCAACTGTACGCCCATGACAAGTTATCCAACAGAAAGCAAGAAGCACTAGAGATGTGGAGGGAGACAGAGAGCAAGAGGAGAGGCAGTGGAATTGGAGTCAACAAGCATAATTAAAGTGAGTTAGCGGCAGGATGTGGAGGGAGCTGTCAGTAAAACAACAAATTAAGAAAACAATGAGCTTAAATTGTAAAAATAAAATTAAATAGATAAAATAAAATTCAAAAAGAGAACCTTAGAAATCCCATCATTAGCGTGGCATAGGCAGGTTTATTTCATGTCACGTTCAATGGATGCAAATGTAACGGGAAAACAGTCCGTCTCCACACGTACCTTGATAGTGCGCGCTGAATCCACGGTAACGGTGGTTGCCGTCGGTGACAAAATGCAGTCGGAGCCAGTTCTTGTTGCTCACAATAGGTGATGGGATATTACTGCCTGACAACCTGTGAAAAACAAAGAAAAAAAGGGAAAAAGTTACATTTATGAGAAGAAACTTTTTAACAATTTGGCTTCAGTGTACCCAAACAACAACTGTACACAGAAATATTTAGATTATATGGATTTATTCAAGGGACAGCACGTTCTAGGTGTCAACATGTGGGGGAAGAAGTCTGGAGTATGCACTTGTATGTTCACTGGTAAGGTCAGGGTAAAGGTGGAAGATGATAACTTGTTCGTGGACTGTTAAAATAAAAAGACTTAAAAAAAAATAATAATAATGTCTGCGAAATCCCTCAGTCGGCACCAAAGGAAAACTAATCCAGCTAATGGAACTAAATTGAAAAGCAAAACATTTCCAGTCCAAATCTTAAAATCTTAGCTCAGTTTACACATTGAGGTTTTATTTTGCAATTTTTGCAAACTGAATTTGAGGTTTGAAATAATCAGGGTTGTTTAGTACTGGTTTGTCATTTACTTTAAAATTAAGGTACAATATAGTAAAATGGCAGTCTGTGCATCCAGATAAAAATGTAATTCATTTAAATGATCAAGGTTTAATCCAGATTTTGTCCCAGTTTTTCCAGGCTGGACTAAACTGGACTAAACTCTTCAGGTGTAGTCCAGGGTTTAGTCCAGGAGTCCAGGAGAATGTTTCTATAGTCTATCTGTAGCTGGTAGGCCAGCTCTAATACATATTTGATATAATTATATTTGGCTCGTGATATTATGTCGCGGGCCAAATTTGGCCCCCGAGCCTGAGTTTAACATGTCTGCCGAGTCTGAGGTGAGAAAGTCTCCAAATGTACAACACAGTTACTCCCATCACACAAATGTGATCAGATGGAACATGTTAGAAGAGGACAAAGCAGCATAATCACCAAATAATATGTTACAGTGTTGTAAAATAAGTGATCCTTTGCTGTTTTCCAAGGCAAAGTAAAGCAGCATATTCACAACTTTGTAAGCCTCCACAAAATATAACAAAAAATATTGAACAATGAGATGCATATCAGAAAAATATCATATCGAGGGATAAGCGAGTCATGCCCCTAACCTTCACTTATTTTGTGTGGTACATTCCAATTGCATTATTTCACAATGACAACACAACAGAGCTCTCTCTCAAAGGTGAACAAAACACTGGACTTGTATTTTATTTTCTCCACATGATACAAATGCAGCACTGACTGGGCCCTCACTAAAGCCACAGAAATAAAAGGTGGTGTTTGGCCTGAAGGCAGCTCACAGTGCTCCAGTGAGTGAGGCAGAGTTATCCACACCTGCTGTCTCTCATTCAGGAGCAGAGCACAGGGACTCGCACGAGGACTGCTTTCACTCCACAGCAACGTAAAGAGCCAAAGTGGAGACCAAGGGAGCCTTTTGTACTCCAATAAGGGCACAAGGTCAGGACAATTTGCATCAGTGGGTCTGATGATGAACAGTGATTAGTGATTTAAAGCAAATTATTATATCTTTTGAATGGGAACAAGTGCTCAAATTGTTGCATATAATACAAAATTGAAACCCATAAGACTGTGGAAGACATACCACACAGCTATATTCAAGTAATAGACCAAAGCAGTTAAAGATACCCTGCGTCACTTTTCTGGTGGAAGGTCCACTACCTTCTTATCTCCATAGAGATGTTACTGCTTTGCCTGGAATGCTGTTGTATGCGTAAAACATACCAAGAATTTGTAGTGTTTCTGTTGCTCAATAATACAATAATTCCTTCTGTGAAGGGGTGACTCCACAGATCTGAGCTGTAGTTCTGTAGTGCTGTAACCAGTTTGTCCCCACAAAGAGTGTGAAACATTCTAGACCAGGGGTTGGCAACCTAAAATGCTCAAAGAGCCATATTGGCCCAAAAAAACAAAAACCATACCTGCCTGGAGCCGCACAAAATTAAAAGCCTTATATAAGCCTAATATGAAGGCAACATAGGCTGTCAGTATATTAGCTATATAAGCCTACTATTAAAATGACTAAGTAGGCTACAAACACAAAATAAGAATTCACGATTACACAAACCCCTTTTGCGAACCTCTCATACTCGGTGCGCCGTCTGTAGCCACTGAAATCAGGTGGTTAGTGTTTATTCCTCTGTCATTTAGGCCTCGTTTAAACGTACACTGGTATTTTTTTAAAACAGAGACATTTCCCCAAGTTTGTACACATCGTTTACATGTTAATTCGCCTCTGAAAACGAATCTTTCTAAAAACTCTGGCTAGAGTGAAGATTTTGGAAAACTCCGGTTTCACGTTTGCGTGTAAACTGAGATAAACAGAGGTTTAGGAGCTGACACGCTGAAAGAGCGACCGACGTTTATCTGTTGCTTTGACAATGATGATGGAAGCATTCAGAGCAGCAGTCGCATTTCTTCTGATCTCATAAAATAAACCCGGAGCAGAAGCTCTGAACTCGGGCAGCAGCGCTAAACACATGGGAGCAGTCAGCGCGCAGCTCCTCAAGACGGGGCTGTGGGTCCAGTGTTGGTCAGATTTTTCTGGAGGCTTCGTCCTCCATGTCCTGGTTCCAGAAGGGGGCGAGCAAGACCAGCGCGCAAAGGACTGGGTCCGAGTGCTTCAGTGCAGTCATCTGTGCGCTGGTTCCGTGTGGGAAAAGCGAGAATGCGCTGTGGACCACAGGTCAGAGCGGTCTGCTCCGGTCCTCCGCGCTCGACCGCGGCTGGTTCCGAGGTGGTGCAAAGCATCCGGACAGAAGCGTGAATCCCATTTGGTTCGTTATATGTTGTTCTGAGCGTCCGTCTGCGCATGTGTTTTTTTTTTGTTTTTGGTTTTTTTTGGGGGAAAGCGCTTCTCAGGTGGAGGCACCGGACACCACCCCTGCTTCAGCTCAACTATTTGTTCTGCTGAAACATTTTTCATGTATTTGCATTTGCACACACAGCTGATGGATCAGATCCATGACCAGAGATGAACGAGGGTTTTACCCCTAAAGAAACCATATTAAAACAACAACCAAAAAAATCATTCCTTTTCCATTTTCACTCATTTCTGAAAAAGCTCCAGGGAGCTTCTAGGGGGGTGCTAAAGAGCCACATGCGGCTCTGGAGCCGCAGGTTGCCGACCCCTGTTCTAGACAAAGCAATGACATTTCCACGGAGACAAGCAGGCAGCAGTAGCCTGATTCATAAGCCGGTTTCACTTCGTGAAAACTGTCTGACCTCGCAGCATTAGGATTCGTTCGCTCGACAGTAGGCGGGTACTTTTTTATATAGCCAATCCCTGCTATTTGGTTGTGATGTACGTAGCGCACCAAATCCCATAGGAAGAAGGGCAATCACCTCTTTCCGCTTGATAAAATTTCTCTTTAAACTTTCTCTTTGTTCCTGCTTTAAATCCTCAATGTTGGGAATCGTTGTCAGCACAGAATGTATGGCTAATCTACATCCATCTCGACTGCTTTGTTTATTGTTGTGTTGATTCCTGACCTCGTTGCTGGAAATTAAATATGATAATGTTTCATATGATAATATAATAATGAATAAATATGATAATATAATAATGAAATTAAATCAAATGAGTGGAGGCACTAGGTGTCTCCACCCTGGTTAAGGCAGCAGACCCTCCATCAAAAAAGTTGCACAGTACATCTTTAAACCTGATGACTATGAAACATAAGTACAATATTTTTCATGTAGTTTATTTTATTTTATTGCTATATGCCACAGCAAAACATTAAAAAGCCAACCAGAATAATATTATTATTATATTATTATATGGGCGGCAGTAGCTCAGTTGGTAGAGCATTCACCCACTGATCTGAAGGTTGGCGGTTTGTTTCCAGCTCTTGACATAAAAAACATCACAGGTTGAGTGGTCAGATCCACTGACCCACAGGTTGGCTGGTGTGATTCCAGCTCCCACAGATGAATGCTGTCGTTGTGTCCTTGGGCAAGACACTTAACCCACCTTGCCCGCAGTGTCTGCGTACACTGGTGTGTGAATGTGTGTGTGAATGGGTGAGTGGTTCCTTGTTGTAAAGCGCTTTAAGTGCCTTGAAGGTAGAAAAGCGCTATAGAAAAATGTGACCATTTACCATTTACCATTATTAATAAGTCATGGGCTACAGGAAAAGGAAAACAATATGAAAAAAGTTATAGAATGTACTCATATAGTTCCTTCCATTCATAAAATATACTTAAAATTGTAAAAGCAAAGTGGCTTAAAGGCTGTATTTACTAATATTTAACTAAGAGGAACAGCAAGTTGTTTGTCATTGTCTGTGTTAGAATTTGCTTTGCTCATCAGGGGATTTGAAGCACCCATCAAAAAGCGCTGGTTATTAGAGGCTGGATAAGGCCGTGTGCACTTTCTGATTATAGCCCGCACTACATTTGTCCACTTAAATATACTCTTCTACCAAACAACAACAGTGAGAAGCCAAAGCACCACTTTTAACAATATTAGCTTTTTGGCACTTTGGGAATGTACTGTACCAAGCCTTTGATGGCGTGCACTACTAGAAGATAGAACCCAATTTGCAAGTCTTTCATCAAGTGTGCTGTATAAGATCTCCTAATTGCCTGTGGAGATGAACACAGCTCTAGTGTTTGGCAAAGTAAAAAGAGGGAGGTCAGAGCTGGCAGAGGAGAGCACAGCCAGTCTCATCACATGATCAAGTGTCCACAGGCTGCAGTGGGGTCGGATACGGAAGGGACTGGTGTTTGAGACTAATCATTTTGGAGTATTTGAGGAGTCAAGGGTGGGAGTCCAAGATCTAGTTCGAGAAGACTCAAGGGAAAAAGTCAGGTGCAAATTGTAAAATATTAGCCAGGCTGGCGCCACCTAGTGCCTCCGCTCAATTTCACATCTCTCCAGCAACTAGGTCAGGAATCAGAATACACTAGACGGTTTGCAAGAACCCCGGAAATTGTAAACCATGCACAGGTCAATCAGCGAAGAGCTGTGAAGCCACGACGTCAAACTCAAGTGTCTGTCTGGGTCCCTTTTGTGGTACAGCACAACAGTAAACAAA